CCTGTGGCAGGCCAGTAGGGGGCGCTCCTGCATTGAGCCACCCACCTCACTGCGCCAGACCACCTTCCAGGCTGCAAGTACCTCCCTGGGGGCGCCTCGCGTCCGGCTGACCCCCTTCTTGGAGCACGCTTGCTAGCCTGGGGGTAACGTAAGCTGCCACCACCCCGAGAGGGGACTCTCTGGGCCCTGTGTCCTCGGGGAAACACAGGCCTAATAGTCCAATGGGTACCCAACCCAGTACAAGCACTTGGGGCACTTCCCCAAGTCGGGGGCCAAAAAGGAAAGTCCCTCTTAGTCCGCAGACCTAAGGGGCATAATTTAGACCCACCCCTCTAAGTCTCCTACACCGGTCACAAAGGAGAACTTTATTGATTACAGGGGTAGGGTGAAAATCGGGTACAAGATAGCAATGTCATAGAAATCCCATCGAGCAAAACAGTCTGGCTGAGGTAGACTTTTGATCACGCATCTTCGTTACTGCCAGCTAGATATCTAACCAGACCTCGAGTAGCTTACTCACAAGCATCATCCCGAGGCTGTTGGAGATCCCCTCTGGAGGCAGGCCGTTCCTCACTCAGGAGTTATGGGGGAGAGAGCCGGTTTCAGATGGTCAAGCTCCTCTCTAAGTCTGAGTCCCCTGCATGGCTGCTGCCCCCTCCTCCTGGGCAGTCTTAACTTATATAGCTCCTGTGACCTTGTTCACTTGGTCCAATGGAGGCCAGCACCTGTTGGCTGTCGGCCAACCAATTTGAACTACATCACTAGTTGCCAGGCAGACTCTAGCCCACCAGGTAGATGCTCCTCGCGCAGGTAGCTGATGCCAGTCACATAGGCAGAGGGAGCAGGTTTCCCCTCCCTCAGAAATGTAGCCAGCTCAGGTTACCTAAAGAGAGGGTAAGGGTGTGTCTCCTCTGCTGGGCCCATCTGAATCACACTGTCACAGCGCAGAGATTTTGGGGAGAAACAAAAGGTGGCTTCCTGCCACACTGCCTCTAGTGAACCCGTGTTGGTTGCCCCTAAGCATACTCTCCCCCACTGGCCCCTCATGGACATGTGCCAGGATAATTCTCTCAAAAAGCTTACCCAGGTTCGATGTAAGACTAACTGGCCTATAGTTCCCCGGGTCCTCTTTCCTCCCTTTTTTGAAGATGGGAACCACATTGGCCCTCTTGAAGTCCCACTGCAGAGTGAGTCGGGTAATTCCCCTGGGAAGAAGTGGAAAGATCAGCTGGGATGTTATTTGTCCTTTGAGATTGCAGATGTTTCATAGGAAACTCCAGGTGACTCCAGCCCTGCTCCTGCCCCTTCATGAGAAACAGCGGCAATATCAGTCTTGGATCTTCTCCTTGCAGGATAATGCCATCAAGACGGGCAAATACAATGCTCTGACCTTCCTGCCACTCAACCTCTATGAGCAGTTCCATCGCATGGCCAATCTCTACTTCCTTTTTGTCATCCTCTTACAGGTAAGGTCTTGCTAGAGGGAGGCTGGTGACAGCTGGGCCTGCCAAGCTAGCACCAGGTTGTGGGCATGTGGGGCAGAGAGATTGCCTAATGAAAGAGCAGCATCAGACATTTGAAACGGGACTCCAAGTGGGTTCTATCTCCAAGTCTGCTACACAGTTGCTGTGTGATACTGGGGAAGTCACTTCATCTGCCCATGCTCCGATTTGGGCAGGAACTATCCCTTTTTCTGGTTTGGCAGTTTTGGAGCAACTTGCTGGAGAGCACAGAGCAAGCAATTGGGCACAGATCCCAGGAGTCTCTGCTTTCCTTGAGTCAGTAAGGGTGCGATTTTCAAAAGCATTTGAGGTAATTAGGATCAGCGAGAATTAGTAAACCAAACTGCTTCTTTTCGGGCTTGTTTGCACATAGGGTTGCACTCAATTTTAAACTGGTTTTGTTGATGCAGTGCAAAAGACTATGTAGATGCCCTTAGAGGCCATCCACATGTGATGAATGGAAGTGAAATAACCACAGGAGTCATAATCCACCCTTTAGTTAATTTGGCTGTATGTGAACTGCTTAGTTTTGGTATAAGAGCATTCTAGTATGAAAAGACCCTGGCTAACTCTTCACTGGCTCAATCAATGTAAAACTATGTAAAACTATTGCTATGTTGGCCCTGTTCAGTATGCAGACCAGCCTCCTTGGTTTAGTTCAGTTTAGTTCATATTGATTAAGAATAGGTTTAAATAAGCCTTCTTTAAACAGAAAGAAGAACATCTACACAGGAGGGTTGCACCAGGTTAACTAACCTGGTTTCAAAATAGGTTCATGTTAAACTGGAGCAATGTTTTTGTCTAGATAAGGCTTGCTGCTTTAATTTCCTTTTGCTCCTTGTGGTTTGGTCCTAAGCCAAACCACACAGTTCAACCACTTCCATGGAAGGACTAATGTGAATAGGGAAGATTACTTTATCTTTTTTGACCGTTGAGAATGAGGGTGTGGTGAAGGTTATTTCCTTCATGGTGATATCATGTTCTTCTGTCTCACCTGCTTTTTCAGACCTTTCCTGAAATCTCCACCCTGCCCTGGTTCACCCTTCTGCTGCCCTTGGGCTGCCTCCTTATCATCAGGGGCTTAAGGGACCTGATTGATGATATTGTGAGTATGGGGTTAGTTTAATGACAATGATTCCCTGGCATGGTTGTGAAGAATGAAAGTACACAGAAAGGCCCTGGTGCCAGGGGGGAAGTCCTTTCTGGAGACCCAGTGAGTGAGATGAGAAGACTGGGAGAGGCTTGTTGCTCAGGGTATCATTAACAAGGATCCAGGTTTTTTGTTTCCTGTGGAAAAATGCAGGTTTTCTCCTTTAAAGGTGAAAAACCTGGGAAACTGCAGGTTTCCCCTTGCAGGCTGGCACAGTTTGAGCCTGCAAGGGCTGCTTGGGCTAAGGGGAGTGGGAGGAGGGTCATCAGAGGCAAGGGGCCATGTGCATGTGTGTGCGTTTACTTGCACATGGCCAGCAATGCAACCAGGCAGGATGGTAATGGGCAGCTCCTGCAACTCCCTGGGGGGGTGGCATATGTGCCCCATATTTCTGCACCCACAGCAGGGCTTAGGGCTGCAGACTGGCACTGGTCAGGAGCTGCCTCCGTGGCCCAGTGGGCAGGCCCCAGCATGGGAGGGAGCACTGAGATGCCTTGGCTGCCAAGGTGAGGCACCCCCTGCCCACCTGGTAGCATTGGTGGGTACAACTCTACACTGCTGTGGTGGGGGTACCTCCTGTGGGCCATGGTGGTGTGGCTGGCACGGGGCTCTGGTGGTGGTGGTGGCACGGAGTTTTGCCTCTGCTGCTGCCAGGTGGGCAGGGGGCACCTTACCTTGGCAGGCATGACAGCATGGCACTCCCTCCCTCCTGTGATGGGTCTCGGCCAAGTGGGCTGTGGAGGTGGCTCATGCCCAGAGCTGATCTGGCTTGGCTGCAGCCCTGTGACCTGCTGTGGGGACAGAAATCTGGAGGAACCCTGTTCCTGTTGCCCTGCTGCGAATACCTTGGAGAGCAGATTTCTTCAGTGTGCAGCTGGATCTCCAGGAGAGGGCACAGTACTGAGGGATGTTTTCTCACCGCCTTAATGAGCAATCCCATTGTGGCCTATACCTTCCCTTCAGCCTGTCTTTTTTTCTTTTGTGCAGGCCCGACACAAAAGTGACTGGATAATCAACTGCAGGCCCTGCGAAATCTTGTCTGGGAAAAGGTGAGAGGCCTTGAGAAATCTCCACCAGGGAGTGAGAGGATAAACTGTCTCTATGGCCTTGCTTGAAGAAAGTGGCAAGAGGTGGTGCCAAGTCCTTATCAAAGCTCTTAGCCTTCCCCCGATGTAACAGTTGTGACCAGAGAAGTGGTTGTATTGTGTAACTACCTCTGAGCTTCCCAAATATATGCCTCTCTCCCAAACCATTGGCTTTATCCTGGGGATTAACTCATCCCTCTCCCAGCCAGTATTACTAAGAGTTCCTGTCTCCACAGGATGCATGGATAGGAAGGTTTCCTTTCTATGCAAGTGCATCCAAAGTGGTTTTGCCACTACTGACCTGTAGTGACATTCTAGCTTGATGTCGATCTGGAGGAAGAAAGATGCTGAGGAAACCAAAATTTACCATCCAAGCCTGGGTCACTTGTGGCTGAAAGTCACTCTCATTGATGGTGGCTTGTCATGAACTTCTGAATCTCATGCCACATCCTAGTAGTCAGCACATGCCATGAAACCAGCCCTGTAGCTGGTTCCTAATTGGCAGTCTCAGAGGGCAGCCAAGAATCTGAGGGGCCACATGCTGAAGTCTCATCTTGTCCCAAAAGCCTGGATTGAGGCATGCGGGATGGAGAGGTGGCAGCTGGTCCTGTCACTACCCAACTGGCTTCTGTCCAGTGGAGAGAAGGCTTGGTCTCCTGGTGCTGGCCCTCTGAGCAGCTCGCTCTTCTCTCACAGCTTCAGCTGGAAAAAATGGAGGGACATCTGTGTTGGTGATATTGTCTGTCTGCGCAAGGACAGCTTTGTGCCGGTGAGTCAGGCCTGTGTGGCTGACTGTCTCCTTTCTGAGTCTGTATACAGGGGAGGGCAAGGAGGCCTAATAATAAGGTCTCCCTTAGGTACTTTCTCTTTAATTTGTTTTCAAGGCTGACCTGCTTTTGCTGTCCAGCTCGGAGCCAAGCAGCCTGTGCTATGTGGAGACGGCAGATATTGATGGGTGAGGAGGGGGACAAGGCGAGGTGTTGTGGGAGACCAGACTGGGAAGGGGTCAGAGATACTGTGGCTTTCAGCTTTGGATCTCTAACTGGAGGGATTTTGGACCTGATTTCAGAAGCACCCAGGACCAGAAGGTCCAAGCGCGGTGAGCTCAGCACTGCAAGGCCCTTAAGGCATCTCAAGTGGCACATCCAAAATGGGGCCCAAAATACATTGGTCTTGTGGGTAAGGCATCAGTAGGGGCTTGAATAGATCTGGGTTACATCCCCAGCCCTACCATGGACTTCTTGTGAGCCCTTGGCATGTCGCTTTATCTCTGTCTGAGTCTTAGCTTCCCATCAGTCACATGGGGATGATAATCCTTCCTTTCTGCCTCCCTGTCTGGTTTATTTGAACATATGCTCTTCAGGGAAAGAGTGGGTGAATGGTCAGCACCTGGCAAATGAGACTGATCTCACTTGGAACCACCAAGTGCTATTGTCATACAAACAATAATAGCTAATAACTTCCCACCCCTCCAGTCCTCGGGGATGGGAGCAGAGCTAGCAGCTCCACTGCCTGCTTGGTCTTTTTTCCATTCTTGTCTTCAGAGAAACCAATCTGAAGTTCAGACAAGCCCTTCTGGTCACACACGAGGAGCTGATGAGTGTGGAGAGCATGGCTGCCTTTGATGGTGAGCATCCTGAAAGAGCAAGGTTGTGTTATTCCCATTTTGTGCTAGAAGCACTCGGGCATTAGGTGCTGGAGGCCTCATGACCTTTGGGGAGATGGTTATATTAGTGCTGTAAGCCCATTGTTATTCAGAAGAGGGAACCAAACTGCAGGAGGCCTGATTCACACCCTGTTCTGGAAGAGGCTGGTGCATCCTCACAGAGCAGAGGTGCTCTGTGCAGGATGGTATCTCGGGTAGAGACTTTCCTCCGCAGAAGCCTTGTTGAATTATCCTTGATCAGGAAGGAGAGGAGTCAGAGGGGGTGATGAGAGGAAAGATCCCTCTTTTCCAAGCTGTGAATTATAGTCTTACTGCTCTTGGTCACCCAGGGAAAGTGACCTGTGAGGAGCCCAACAGCCGGATGCACAGCTTCATTGGCATGCTGGAGTGGAAGGGTGAGAAGTACTCGCTGGACAGTGAGAAGATCTTGCTGCGAGGCTGCAGGATACGCAACACAGAGATCTGCTATGGGCTCGTCATCTATGCAGGTGAATGCAGCAGGCCCCATTCCCTGTTAGCACTGTGCTGCTTCCATGCAGAACGGGAGGGGAAGAAAGCGCAATGGGTCATATCCCCATCTGGTATAAATCAGCCTAGCCCCATTAAAATCAGCAGGCCAGATTCCTAGCCAGAGCACATCATTAAACCTGCCTGGGGCCAAATCACAGAGAATCACAGAGGAGTAGGAGTGCAAGGGGCCTCTGTAAGTCATCTAGTCCAACCCCCTGCCTGAGGCAGGATCATCCCTACCCAAACCATCCTGTCCAAATCCATAATTGAATCTCTTAGCAAAACTACCATCAACCCGGACACAACCCAAGATAACACCTTAACCTGCCACAGGTAAAGCAGGGAAACCATGGCAGCCAACGTTCTGCTTCTGTAAAAGGTTGTTAATATATGCTCAAGAGATCCCAGGTAGAGGGCATACACCCCCCACTACAGAGAGAAAAACTCCCAGTCTGACCATGGGTTAAAATCCCTTCCTGACCCTAAATATGGCAATTGGTCTGACCCTGAGTGGAGGGCAAGACCCTCTCGCCAGGAGTGAATTTTTAAGTGAGGCTAATTAACCACTGTGCTCATGTTTCTAGGAAGATGGGGCATCCTTTATAATTGGAAGCTTTTATGTCAAGATTGACTGTCTCTTTCCAAACGTAACAGGGCAGCTCAGGCCTGAGTCTTGGGCAGGTGCAGGAGGTACTGGGTAGGAGCCTCTGGCCTGCCCTGTGCAGGAGTTTGCACTAAATGATCAGAATAGTCTTTTCTGATCTAGAGATCAAAACCGAACGGGCAGAGGAGGAGGAGATCCCCTAGGGAACAAAAATACTTTGTGGCTGCCAGTGCTAGACAGCAAGCAGTTTTGAGATGGGCATATTAGACATGCCAGAGATACCTGGGGCCAGATGCTCGGTTACCCTAAGGTCTCTCTACACCATTCTTTCACACTCCTTTATGATGCCAAGAGGAGTAAATTGACATTTATGCTCTTGGCAAATGGCTAGTGCTGCCTTCAGATCAAAGTTTGGCTGCCTGTGGGCAAATAATAAAAACATGCACAAGGCCTTCAAAGGGGCAGACCACTGAGTTTGTGAAGGACCACACATAAATAAACCTAGTTTTTAGCTGGGCAAACTGACCCACAGAGGGGTTGATTGACTTCTTCAAGATCATGTGCAAGCATTGGGAATGGATCTTAGGAGTGCCTCGTGCTCCATTATCTCACAACAGCACCTGTGGGATAATGGAGCAGGCTTCCCTGGACTGTCTCTGTCACAGTCGTGGCACCTATGGTCCAGGCCTATATTAGACAGATCTCTCCAGTGTAGAGAGCAGAGAGGATAATGCAGTCAGCAGGTGTCTTAGCTCGCCAAACTCTAGCCATAGTTATGTGCTTACAGTTTTGCTTCTACAACTTTTGTCCAGGATTTGATTCCAAAATTATGAGAAACTGTGGGAAGATCCGGTTGAAGAAAACCAAGCTGGACTGTATGATGGACAAGCTGGTGATCTTAGTAAGTATGTTGCTTCCACAAATAATGCTCTTAAGCAGCCAAGAGTGTTGGAGAGTGCATTGTCCTGTTACTTGGACACTTATCTTTGGGGTGTGGACTAACTGCAGATCCTAGTTCAAAGGCTTGTCCTTCTCTCTTGAATAATAGCCTTGAATTGGCATCAGTAAGCAAACAGGAGCACTATTTGATTGCCATGTAGGACTTTTGTACTGGTGACGCTGTAGTACCTGACACTGTGCTGTTACTCTCAGATGTTTGTAACTTTCCACCAAATGACCTATCAGGAAATTTTCCTTTTGGTTTTCTGGTGAGATGTTGAGTACCCTGGAGACCGCCTCGTTTTCCCTTTACCTCTGTGCTAACGCCACCCATGTAATTTCTGTTAATTTGTATCATCATTGTCATGATCTCTGTGTGTGTCATAAACATGAATTAGGTTTCCTCACACATTGAGAGAGAGAAGAATTTATCCCCATGATTTCAGAGGGAGTTTGCATTGGACCTGGGATCAAAACACATATGTCCTAAATAACAGGCCAGAACTCTAGCCACAAGACCATCCCTTCTGCCCAGCTGTTGTTGGAGTTGCATCCCTATTTGAAGATTGCATTTATTTGCCCATTTCAGCTCCAAAATGGTGGCTCTGTACTTCCATTCTGTACATCTCTGGTTCTCACACCCTGTTCTGTGGATCCGAGTGGTCTGTGGATGGCTGTTTTGGTTTCTGGATGCATAAAAAAAAAAAAAAAAAAGGAAATTCTAAATACTTTTTTAATGGCACTATACCAACTAAGGGATGACCAGTCTGCCTTGTTACTGTGAATGGGTCAGTGCTGCAGATAGAGGGAGGAGGGGTGTCCAGGAGATGTGTTGCTTTCTATTTGTGGATCATGCTGTGTGTGTTGTTGCTGTTTTGGTGGTGTTTTGGAGCTCCTGTTCAAGATCAAGACGTTGTTGTGCTAGATTTTGAGCAACCAGAAAACAGTTCTCCTTGTTCTACAGAACCAGAAAGACATGGGCAAATCAGGAAAAAAAAATCTAGCAGAGAGCGATAAAATTGATTAGAGGGAAAGGAAATGTAATTTAAGAGGAAAGGCTGATAGAATGGGATTGTTTAGGCCAGAGAGGAGAAGACTGAGGGGGGATTTGATCAATACCTGAAGGGTGTTTGCTTATAAAGGGTGGCTATAGACTATTATTTTACCCACCAGGAGCAAGACAAGGAGCAATGGTCTTGAATTGCAGCAAGGGGAATTTAGATTGGATATTCAAAGGAACGTTGTCGCTTTGAAGGTGGTTAAGCATTGGAACAGATTACCTAGAGAGCTGGTGGAATCTCCATCCTTGGAAGTTTCTAAGGGCAGGTTATATAAAGATGTGTCTAGGGTGGTTTAGACAAGGATGGTTTTGCCTTGAGCAGGGGCTTGAACTAGGCCATTACAGCTCTTATTTCTGTTATTGGATTATTTTGATCTGGGTAAAATATGATCCACACCATGACAAAGTTTTAGAGCCTCCACTTGAATCTAAAATCTGCTCTACAAGGGAAAGCTTTACCAGGAATCCATTCTAGTTATCATTGTATAGCTGCCCATGCAGACACCAATTCCAGTGCAAGTGTGGATCATTTTGGTTGACTTTGAACCCCTTTCCAAGCAACGTAAGCAAAATCAGAAGACGGTCCTCTTATGCCAGAATAAAAGTATCCACGTGAGGGTTATGCCAGGGTAAGTGTAGAAAACCGCCCGTCCGCTGGAGCATGGTGTATGTGTAAGAGGTATAGTTAGGTGCCTGATGAATCTGTGTGTATGGAGTCCTGTGATCATCACGCAGTGACCTTCATCATGTATGGTTAGGCAAGATTATGAAGGAGTGGAGGCTGGCCAAGACCTACCATCCCTCCTTTAGACCACTGAGACAGAATCCAAAGGCCAGACTGAGTCCAGACATTCAGTGCTTTGATGGTTGTAGCTTCTGCCAGATAAGAACTGCTGCTGACTGCCTAATGCCTCAGCGAGGGTGTGTTTCAGTCAGGGTGATGTCCCTTAGCCTTTTTCCAACGAAGGGGTACCCACAGGGCCATGGGGCTAGGATTTTGAGGCATCTTATATTTGCTTTGCTCTGGACGTTGCAACATCATATTTTCATAGTTTCATAGTTTCTAGGGTTGGAAGAGACCTGAGCAGATCATCTAGTCTGACCCCCTGCCATGGCAGGAAAGAGTACTGGGGTCAAACGACCCCAGCAAGGTGTTCATCTAACCTCCTCTTAAAAACCC